TGGTTCCAGTAAGATGGTGCCACATGTCACACTGCTCATGAAACTATCGAGTTATTGCAAGAGAAGTTTGACGAAAGGATAATTTCAAAGAATGCAACTGTTCACTGGCCTCCAAGAAGCCGGAATTTAACTCCTTTAGATTACTTCCTTTGGCGCTATTTGAAACCTAAAGTCTATGCAAACAAACCACAAACAGTTGATGCATTAAGATTGAACATTGAACATCCGAAATAATTTTAGTTTCATTTCATTTTAAATTCATATCGTTTTCATTGAAAAACCCTTTACGACACTTGTTGAGGCGAAGATCGTCTTGTATGTTACTGCCAATGGTAGACATTTTCAGCACCTGCTATAACAAATTTGTTTTTTTTCTTATAATAATTAAGATAGCTAATATTTTATTATGTTCATTTTAAATTAATTTGGAATGAAAAGTAAATAATAAAATTCAGAAACACTGTACTTTAGAAAGAAAATGCAATAGAGCTTTTTTATTAGAAATATGACAGGAAATTGTATATTAATTTTAAATAACCGGAAATGTTTAGTTTAATGTTCGAATGTACTTTCAATTCATATGTAATGAACATATTACTATCATTTGATAGGTATATCAAATTAGTAGCAAAACTTTACATTTGCGATGAAACGTTAACCGTAAAACCGTCTTCCAAATTACCGTAACTGATACGTAACGAAATTTAAAAAAAGAGGCTCAAAAATTCAGCCTAATAATATTCAATATAAAAGTTTTAAAAAATTCAAATGAGAAAACGAGATTACATTTCTGTGTGCTTTCATCATCTGAAGAGGCCAGCGGTAACTTTTTGAGCAGAATCCGCCGCATCAGAACTTTAATTTCAGTTATGCGTAATATGATTACCGCCATGCTGAGGATATATTAATTAAAATCTCATGTTTAATTCAGAGAAATTGTATATTTAATCTTATAATCTGCTCAGCTCTCCGCGAATTAAAACCGCGCGCAAACATCGCTTATTTCAAACTCATCAAACATTTAACGTTTTATTGATTTAATATTAACATCCGGTTTGCTGCAGCGCTGAAATTACTTTTATTATTGTAATCAAGCTTTTTACCTTCTCTTCTTCATTACACGACTATTAATTTTGTAGAACTATGCTATGTCAGTGAAATTTATAATATTGCAATTAATTTAAAAAGCTCTACATCTGACATACTAAATAACGCTGACTTATTGAAGAAATCAGTTCCGTTTTTAATATGATAGTTCCATTGCTGCACCTAAGTAAGGGTATTCTTCCAAATGTTCTCAATATGTCAAAGGTTCCTCTAAGTAAATATACCTCTATATACCTTACCTTCAATTGAAATTTATAAATCTGTGCACTCTATGTATGGTCTACTATATCTAAACGTATTGTCCACAAATACGTTGAAAATTTTAATGTATTCTTAAAAGTACAAAGGGGTTTTCGTAAAAATCATTGAACTCAAACTGCAGTCATATGCCTATTAGAAAAATTATGGTTTCTAACTTCTAATTTGAACATGTAACTACTATACACAGATTTATTGTCCTCCCTAATGAGCTCCGAAATCTTTTCAGCGGATGCATCTACTTTATTTAAAATCTTGAGCACAATTTCACTTCCTCGACATCATAGTTGCCTTCCTCTGAAAATAGTTTCATCACTTTTTTAAATTTCATGGTAGAGGGTTTTATTTATGCACCCAAATCATCAACTACTTTGGCTACTTTCAAAATTACTACTTATTTGAACCTTTGAATGTGATTGGACTTGAACCTTTGAATATGACTGGATCTGTTCACGTTTAGGATATGCTTAATATTTGTGTTTGTTATTAGCGAAAGTATTGATGACATCATTGTACTTATCTTCATTCAAACATTAAGTTTTCACTAGAGTCTTTAGTTCTAATTCTACAGCCATTTAATGATATATAGAATATTGTGTCCTTTTGAATAGGGTAAGTTTGACGTTCAGTATGTCTTTTATTTTGCCACATTAGCTTTTAATCCACTTTTCCGCATCAGTAGCGATTTCAGCTCAATCACAACTTAAACAGTGCACAGTCCAAACGTCCAGTTACTGACAGTGTGAACTTCGTATCTGCAGAACAGCGTCTGATGCGGTATCAGTTCTTCGGTTAGATCCATATGGCTCTCTTGGCTGGACCTTTTCCTTTGAGTCTTAGGGTCGATCTCTTCGTCCGGCAGATGTAATACCAGAAACCTTTTTATTTCTGCCATAAGCACGTCTATTTCCAATAGTCGAGTTGAGTTCTCTATATATTTCGGTGACCTTCTGTTCCTCGACGTTATGGATGCAGTGCAGTTCTTCTACTTTGTCCTTTCTTAACTCCACCCAAATATTTTTCCAGTTTTTGTTCTGTAGGGCATTGTCGTAACTTATCCAATATTTAGTTTACTTTCAAAGCCTTCTTCTGTAACTAGATTTTTCTCATGGAATTGCTGACGTCTTTCAAAACCAATTCTTGAACTTTCCATTCTAACAAAATGGTTGTCCCAAAGATACGTTTCTTCACGACGGCCGTAAGTTTCCTTCAATGTATCTTCTATGGAGCTGATTACTTTGCCTCAAACTTTCTTAATTGTTTAACATTCCTTTTCGTCCTTAATGTCTTTATATCCAATTCCCTAAAGAATCTGTGGACTACAAACAGCATGACTGCCTTGTAGATGTTCACTATGTACTTGGCGCTTCTGTCTAGACAAGCCATGGTCACCTTCACATCTTGCAGCCATCTTGTTCTTTCGGTCGACTTTTACATAAATCTGGCTTAGTTTGAATTGCAGAACCATTTTTTTCGCGTCGTACTCTTCTGTTTATCTGGGCGTAGGTGGTGTCTTTGAAACCGGGTAATGAGCCCATTTTGGATTCTTCTGACTATTGAGTAGCATCATTTTTAAGATGCCTCTGAAATTTTTCCTTGATTTCGTATAATTTTTGCATCCACATTTTTATGTCGTTTCATCTCGACTTGCAGTTCCAATTAATTTTCATAATTGTTTAGTGTTATTTGGTTAATTCTTAATATTTCAATTTCGAAAAATTCCTTCACTTCAAAAGGTAGATTGTAGGAAATATTCACCAATTTGTCATATGTTTCTCTTAACATCTTCTTTAATTCGTCACCTCGCTGTTTTTTCTATTCCAACCAGGGTCTAATATAATTCATTCACATTGGCTTTTCCAGTCTCATTATAGTTTAAGACCTTTTGGCTAATATTTTGGAAATAATATGATTCATCTACGGCAAATATTAAAATTGTCTTTAAAATACATGCATACAAATTAAAACAGTATAAGAAGAACTGTCATTCTTAAAAATAAACTTACGGTACATTTAAAGCTAGAGTTCAAGTACATAGATTTGAAACAAGGTGTATAATGCTCTTTGTGTGGCATCCACTTGTCATGGATGTAAGATTTTATTTCCTTCATTGAATGTTACGCACGTAGGCTGAAACTAAGTGATAATTCTGCGCGCGTCCCAGGTCAGAGGTTATTAATGCGCTTTGTGATGATATGATTATGCGTTAATGGTACCTGTTATAGGCCTCCATTATCTCCATTGTTCGCACTTTAAAGAATCACCCAAGTTGTGTGTAATCAGAGAGACACACATTAAAAGTATCAGGAAGAAATAATTCTTTTAAAGTACGCTTAGTCCAAGAAAACGAAGTGAAATAATTATAGCTACGAAATGTATTGGTTGGATTGGTAATGTTATGTAAGCTCTGGTCATAACCAGTATATAACGACTCATATACAGTAAATAATTAAAAAAATTTCATCTGATGACTTTATCAGAGACATTAATAATATCGACTGGGACAACATATATTACATTAACAATATTAACGAGAAAGTTGAGGTTCTTAGTCAGGATATATCTACATTCCGTATTAATTTTATGCCTGTTTTAGCAAAGAAATATATCCCCATTGTTTTAAGCGGACAAAAGTTAGATTTTTATATAAAAAGGCGATACAGATGTAATTAATTGACAACTATCGGCTAATTTCAATGATTCAAATTTTTTGTTAAGTTATAGAGGTATTATTCAAAAATAAATAGTACAATTTTCTTGAAAACAGTTTTATTCTATGTGATAGTCAATTTGGTTTTAGACCTATACGTTCTACATCTGATACTGTGCGAGGCGTCGCACGTCGTGAGGGATGAGGTCGGGGGTTTTGAGGTGGGTGATAAGGCGGATCCACACGACTTACTGTTAAAAAAGTTGCAATATTATGGGATAACTGATTTGGCATTAACATTGCTTAAGTCTTATCTACAGGAGAGACCACAGTGTATTATGACCGGTAAAGTATGAAGTAATTCAGCACGATGTACCGCAGGGTTCCATTATTGGACCAATATTATGTTTGATTTTTATTAATGACATCCAGTATTTTTTGTCACCTGAAAAATATATTTTATTTGTCGACGACACCACTTTAGTTGTGTTACACAAGGATGTATTTTTCACAGTTTCGGAACAGGTAGAGAAAAGTGGTTTGTTAGTTATAAACTCAAAGCAAATGTTAATAAAACTTTTTTTTCCTTAAATCGAGCTAATACAAAGAGTTACTGTTTAAAGCTGTTGTGTGTGATTTCGGATGATGGTTTAGATTGGATATATTCAATACCTCATGAAGATGCTTCCAAGCATTACTCTTAATTCGACATTAATTTTAGGTATTTTATTCACGTGAGTGTGCAATTTCATAATTCAATATTTACCTTATCGAATGCGTTTTATAGCCACTTATTTTTACTATGACATATATGAGTATTAGAGCCCGTGTACTGTACTTAACCAATATTCTGATTTATCGTCTATAATGTATATATTCAGCAGCGAATGAATTTCAAGGAAACAAAATAATTTTTCAGTTGATGTCATTTTCATAGATTTAGTTGATTCTTTTTAAGATCTTTATGAAAATTTCCTTTTTTCAGACACAAGTTACTCTTACCATCCTGCAATCCACGACGACACTTTCGTTAGAAGGAAACAAAGGCGGAATAGGACGACATTCACCTTGCAACAGGTAGGTACAGCTGTATAATGCAAAAAATATTCTAATCTGGAAATATGATTTTGTAGCTAGAGGAGTTGGAAAGTGCTTTTGCGCAAACACACTATCCAGATGTTTTTACTAGAGAAGATTTAGCGATGAAGATTAACTTGACGGAAGCTAGGGTTCAGGTATGTAAATGACCTTAATTAATACAGCGTATTCCAGTTTAGAGGAATCAGGGGAAAATCAAGTTATTTTCCTACGTACAATATAATAGGCATATATTAGGAAAAGTTAATGCAGAGCGGTTAGAAATAAAATTTCGTAGTAAAAACGACCAAGATAAATCATTGGAAATTGTTTTTGATTTCCAAAGTTTGTAAATACACTTCTTTTGGAACCAGCCGTGCTGCGACGCGTTTTTTACCCAAAACATCAATTAAAATAGCGCGAACTGATTCATGAAATATGTTTAGTTTATATATCATTCCTCTTAAACTATAATGACGATTTGCAAGCACCATTTACTTCAATTGATTGATGTTTTCTTCAGTTGAAGACGTTGAAAGACGATCAGAAAGTAACAAATCATCAATCACTTCTCGACCATGTTTGAATACTTTGTACTATTCGTATGCTTCAGTTTTCGATAAAACTGAATTATCGTACGTCTTTTCCAACATTTTCAACGATTAATCATACAAAATTCAGTAGGTAGCACAAAATTTTAGGCAAACTCAACTCAATAACATTGTCCATAATAAAAATCGCAGAAAACACACTTTAGGTGGACTAATAAAATTTACAGCTGTAAATAAATTACTTACTTACGACTGATCGCGCTCAAACTTCTCGACAGAGTAAAGTACATCTTCTTTCCACCAAAAAAGAAATTTAAATCTACTTTATGCGGAATTTGTAAATAACAAACATACATATTACTTATTACAATAGTGGGTGAAATTTGGATGGCTTGGAAGAAAAAAAACCTGTATCGTGCATATAAGTTTGTCGACAATAAAAAATTAAAACAGCATATCAAAATTTGAACCTTAGCTCTTTTTTTGTTATTAAATTTTTTTCCCAAACTTTATCTTGTAAAAGGTTTCCCAGCACATGTTCACAGAACCCTTTTTTTGTTAATTTGTGACATAGAAATGTCATTAAAACTATTTTAGTTAGACCTGGATAATACCAGCTACGGGAAATTGTAAACACGTAAAAGCCATGGGATGTCTTAATAACAATATAATAGCAGTCGTTATTGTTCAAATACCTAAATAATTTATTAATATAGGTATCGAGTATTAAGGTTAGCATAGTACACACAAGTTGCTATAGCGAAGCCACAAAATTCATTTTAGTCTTCAGTAATGGAGTAATTTAGTCGTTTCCTTGGCTTCCAAAGACATCGAAGCTTCGATGTCTGCAATTTTGCGTTTCCATAAATGAGTCACGTTCTATTGCCAAATCCAATTTTTGGAAACGTAATTATTTCACGATTTGTTTTTGAACAATGTAAATATAAGTGCTTTTGGCTGAGATCGGGATCTAGCCGAGAGGTGGAATTAATCTCGTAAAGATCATCGAAATTTTTCATCTCTCATCTCGATCTCGTCCTCGATTTCAACAATTGAACATTGTGATTATTATAAAATAATGATTTTGAAGATACGTAATATTAATTTTATTTATTTGACTTAAAAATATATAAACCTGTGGTATAAAGAATTGTAATACACTGCGAAAATTTATAAACACAGTCATTACATAACTCGATTTTTTTTGTTATATCTCTATATTTGTCCAAAATTAATGTAGTTTAATTTTTTCCAAAATAATAATATAAGTGTATTCTAATGCAGAATTCACATTCTTCGTGGCTTTGAACTCACATTACATTCCCAGTATTAACAAATAGATTTTTAATACATATATAGAATAAGCAGAACTACGACTTTAAATAGCTTCTAGAAGTTCTAAAGTTAAATGCTATTAACAGTTGCTTATATTATAAAAATATGATTCTCGGACATTAGATTAACGCAATTAAAAAATTACGAAATACTTTGTTCCCCGATCCATTACATGTAGAAGTCCAATTATTTTGGAATAATGCATTATATTTCAACAGATGCGACTTACTAATTTAATTCTTTTAGACAACTAATTTTACCAGGGTGTTTTTTAATGATTTTCTGTAATTTTTATACGGATTGTTTGATTGATGTCAAATTTAACGTCCAGAGAAGAAAGGATGTGATTGATTTAATGAGAACAATTATGTTTGAATATATTTTGCCTCTTCTTATTCTAATTGCAGTAATATATGCATGTCGGATATTTGCTTTGAGAGTTTGCGCAATACTTTGGTTTATTTACTGATCTTGTGCGTAGTCAAGATTGCCATGGAACTACGTTCTACTATGTTTTCCTCTGTTAAATTTACGAAACAATTTTTTTTATTCTCTATTATTAATAGATTAATATCATTTCTTAAAGAAATAATATTTTATTATAAAAGGCATTTTATAATATCTTCATCCTGTTGCAAACAAGGAACATATATTCACATACAGTATTACAAACGTCTCCTTGAAACCCGATAAACTTGAAACAAAAAATAAATGTAATAAAATGACGTACTGTCATTTGTCGAATTAATGTGGGTCGTTTGTTTTTTGCCCATCTACGATCTCATTGTTTTATCATATCAAGTCAAATTGCATATTCCAGTCCTGTAAACAATGATCAAGCACGCAGGACTGGAAAACTATTCGTCGAAACAAATTGTATGTTAATCCTCGCCAAATATGTTTTCATGCAAAACCGGTTTTCACATAGTATAATAGATTTCATTTGGTATGTATCTGTCACGGATTGATTTTGTTACAGCTGTTTTACATTGACAATTTATTGATCAATTAATTCATGAAGTCGCTTCATCAAGAAATTGGACAAGAGTAATGCACCAAATCAGCTGTCAAATAACTTCATGAATTTATTCATCAAGTTCTTGACGAATTAGAGCATGTTCTAATTTTCGTCAATTTCTTCTGAAGTTCGGAAGTACCAACCCAACAGATTTCCAGCTTCAGATCAGTAATGAGGTTATGTTATTGTGGCGTGGTACTAGTTTTACTAATATTTATATAATATGTGTCAAAACGGTACCGCTGTTGTATCACTACAATTATGAGTGGAAAGGTGACATTTTTGAAATTTATTTGCTTCTTTGTTTCGTTGGTAGAACTGATTCATGCGTCAAAAAACTTGACAAAGTCTGTAGCAGTGTAAAACCACACTGTTTATCAATAAATTCGTGAATTAATTCATGAAGAGCTTCGTCAATTTATTCATCAATAAATTGTCAATGTAAAACAGCTATATCTGTTTTTGTTGTTTTGGATTAATTTAAGATGTCTATCACTGATTCAGCTGATGATGTGGCTGAATAAGAAATAACTATAAAAATCACTATTTATTTTATTTAGAATTTTTAACTGATTACTTACTTGCTTAGTGTTCCATCCATCAATCTATTTGACATCATGCTCCTGAAAAGAGTTACTAGCATCTCCGCGGACCCTTTCATCTGTCAAATGTTTTCTTTAAAAATTAATATCTCAAAATCTATAACTCCTAGGTATAGAGAATATTTAATAAAGTGACCCTCACATTTCACGTAGAATACGAAAATGCAATAATATATAGGGTGTCCCATTTAAAATAACGAAATTGGTGTCGACTTCCGGTATAACCTGAAGTGCTGGAGAGTTCTGCTGGAGTATTTTAGTTGTGTTTGCCCCAGCGACATTGCCATGTTACCAAATTTTATTAGGAACATGCTATAAAACAGCAAAAATAATTTTTATTATTTTAAAGCATAAATTAGTTTTTATTTACTGTTAGTAAATATCTAATGAATCATGTACAAAGTATAGTTTTTTTTTTAACACTAGAAAATGTTTTTAACGTCCTGAAATTGCTCCGCAATGAAATGAAAATATGGTGACTTCAAAATGACCAAATGTCGCTAAGCAATGCCTTCCATAATTTCACATAGTTGGTTCAAAGAGGTAACTGGCAACACTGATACAAATTCAGTGCAGGTGTTGTCCAGTGACGGCGTTCACAAGATTAACAAAGCGAATTATTACTCTATTTATTTGATTAAAAAACTGATCCCTCTTAAAGTTACACCTTGTATTGTAATAAAGTTACATATTACCACTTGATTTTAGTTTTTCGATTCAATCGAAATTACGAAGCTGTAATGTACACTTATATTTTTTCAAATAGGACACGTACTTGACTGGCGGACTGAACGAGTGAAGTGAAGACGAAGTTAATATTATTTTGCACATTCTTTTAGCATCACAATAAACATTTTCCGTGCAGTACAATCCGATTATCCTCAGCGTCACATTCGATTCTAATCGAATTAGCCGCATGCAACTTATGATGTCCCAATTAGGGCGATTTAATAAATCTAATAAGCCCTTTTCGGAGAGACGGCACAAAGGGAGTAAATTCGATTTGTAGGCAGTGCTTCAATTATCATTAAACTATCGGGTTGCATAAAACTACATAAAAAGACCCGCAAATACATTTTCTCATGTCAATTGCGTGTCGTTTTACATGCGTAGGGACACTCTGGACGCACGCACTGGGGGGAGGCCAGAATTTATGGGGCTGGGAGCCGTGTTTGACTGGAATTTATCGGTCGAATGAGTAGGACTTAACACCTCCATAAACTTGAATGTCATGCTGTTATACTCGACTTTGCAACGTGCACCCTTTTATTTATTCCTCACATAAGGAAGCCGCTACTCGGAAATACATTCGTTGGATTTGGGACAATTTTAAGCTGAAGAAGTTTTATTACAACAGATTTCCTATGATGTAAAATGGTTTCTATAATTCAAGATAAAATATATACTTAGTCATTTAGAATCGTTATAGTAGGCAATGTATCGACAGGTATTTAAGATACAAAAAGTAAATGACAACATAATGTCATTTATTAGTAGTTTCATACAACCAATTATTTTTAAATGATTGTCGTTGTAAGTATATACAGTGTGGCGTGTATAATCTGTAAAAAATTAAACTACAGCTTCATGATTATATTTGTAACAGAAAAGTTTTATACGAAAAAGTTTTACCTTCGCGTTTGTTTTTTTGT